GGGAAAACAAGGGGTTTAAAGTGTAAACTAAACTTTTAAGGCACCCTCGAGGGGTAATACTTAGGCCTGTACCGTGGTACTACGTAACAGAATGATTTTCGACTCAAGGAGGGCCATATGAAACAAACATATTACGCACACCGCCCCTTTATACGAGTTTAAAAGTCTACTTATGTTTTTTAAAACTAAAAGGATATAAGAAAGCCTACTTAAGCGAGCCGACGACTACGTATTGCTCGTATTTTTATTTTTAATACTAGCGATAAAAAGTATATATACGAAATTGCCGAGCTACTACTTTACAATCATAACTATATAAGATAAGCATTCCCCTTTGTGTTTTCAGTTCTATCGTACACTTTCATCATAGTGCTTAACAATCTTCTTGCAAGCTCGATTCGGTACAACGATCGCTTTTATTTACCAACTCCATTATGCGTTTCGAAAACAAGCTCTTCTTGCTCACCTCTCTCTTCGGCGTCGCAACGGCTTATCGTCGAAGCTGCAGGCCCGATCTCACTAACGGCGGCACCGGCAACGGCTTTTACACTATTGAAAAAACCGACACTTGGGCTGGTATCGCGGCCGACTTTTGCACTTCTGTACTAGACCTGCAAAACATGAATCCTACCACCCCGACTTCCACCAACCTGATTTTAACCGTCCCTTGCAAAACTCGCGAGCGCGACTGCGCCAGGATCTCGGGCACTAACGACGGGTACTATACGGTCGTCGAAGGCGACGATTTGTCTAGTATTTCGTCGGATTTCTGCATCGATAATTATGGTATAACGTTAAGAAACCGCGGGATTTATTCGAGCTTCGATCTCCACCCTGGCTTGGTCATCACGGTTCCTTGCCGTTGGAACTAGCTACAGTACGGTACCGGTACCTACGTAAAAAGCCTTACCCGCTCGCTCGCTCTGCTAGAGAAGTAATGCGGGGGCTATAACAGGCACGGAGATTTTTAGCGACGGAATTGTTGATATTGTTGCTGTTGTTGTGTTTATAAACGTCGGGCGGGTATCCAAGACGCAATGCTTAAACCTTAAGGACCTGTTATAAGGTACGGCGACGTGTTAAGTAAAGGAATTATATATAAAGTACTATCTAATCGTAAGTGAAAACCACGTTAGGGAAAACCTCTCGTCAAATAGCTGAATACTTATAAACCTTTTAAAAGCAAATTCATAGCGCTGTGCGTCGAGTTTTCTCTTGATAACTATCGAATACGTATGGCTTTACGGGCGGCCTCGATCCGTATAATACAAACATCGTTTTTTTTTTTCGTCGTAAAGCTAAGAAGGCTCGCGTTCGTAGCCTTTAGATAGAGCCGGTGTATTTGCAAAACGCTCTTTCGAAGGCGCAGTACCGTGTTTTCGATCAATCGAACTAAGCCCTTCCCATCCCATCTCTTACACACGTTCCCTTTCTATCGCAAATCCTCTTAATCTTTTCAATCGGTATGCCCGTCAAGTAATCGTCGGCTCGCTTAAGTACCGGTAGGCCTCCTTACAGCCTTTCAGTCTTTACTATAGATCGTAGTCGGCGTAGTATTCAAGAAATCAGAAGAAAGAAATTCCGAACCGCCGATATATAAAAAAGAAAAGATCTCTTCGAAAAAGCCGTCGCAGATCGATAATTCAATCTCGGCTCTTCAGCCAGACCCCCCATCTCTCTTCCTACCGCAGAAGCCAAAAAAAAAAANAAAAAAAAAANAAAAAA